CTCATCTGCAAACGTTGAGATCAGGATTCGCTTGTAGTCTCCTCTTAATAAAGACGCGGCTCTAGTTGCTGGTGATTGTCCTGTCTCTACAGATTTGGTAAGTGAGCGACCAGTGCTCTTTGTTTATTCAGTTCGTATTTTATTTGTATCAAACAAACTATTGCACCGAGTGTAAACAAGTTAGCACTAACAGTTACAACCAAACTATAACCTCGTGTTGGATTTTGTGACCGGAATAACACACGCGGCTTTCTGACGCTACCTGCCGTGTGTATCTAAGTTTCCGGGAAATGCTGAGTTTTTTTTTCTCTCATTCGCCGTGCGGTATCAAACATTGCATGAAAAATACACGCTTAGAGCAGCGCCTCGAATCAAATATCTCGTTTGTCGCAAGGGCCATGAATGAATTCCCTGAATGAAAGAGCCAAACTGCAGTTAAAGTCCACCATTTAATAATTTGGCAAATAATTCGACTACAGATGTCCATGTAAACACAGTCACATTGTCCGCTGTGGTTGTGTGTTTTGACTCTAAAACTCAGCGTGCCCACATAGACACTCCCACACCATGCCTCTTTTCTTCCTCCGACACTCCCCCCTAAACAAAGCTGGACACGCCCACTTTTCTGACTTTTTCCAAAGTAGAGGTGTGAAAACACCCTGCTGAAACGAGGGGGTTTCATGGCCCTTTAAGAAATTTTCTCAATAAAATCAGGCCATGCTTTGATTGTATGGGGTTTAGCTCTGTTTATTCTTGCAGTATTTTTTAGTTCAATAAGCTACATTTTTCCCGTTGGGAATGAGAGTTCATGCCATATTTTAAATATAAAAATAATGTGTTTTTCTTAAAACTTTTCTTAAAGCAATAATACCCCACCAGTTGTAGTAGACCAATCAGGAGAAAATACTAGCAAAAGATTATTACAGAACACAGACCAAAAAACAAAATGAAGACTTTGGAGTGGCCTAGTCAAAGCCCTTAACTGAATCCAATTGAGATGCTGTGGCATGATCTTAAAATGCTTAAAAACCTTCCAATGAGGCTGAATTACAACAATCGTACAAAAGATGAGTTGGCCAAAATTCCTCCACAGCGCTTTAAGGGGCTGATCACATCAAACATGCTTTTTGAATTGAGAGGCGCTTTTTTGGAATGATTTACTAACGGCTGCAATTGTTTTGCACACTACTTATGCGCCCTGTGGGCCTCATGTTGTAACCGCCTGCTGCGCCTCGCGTTTTTGCTGTTGCGTGCTGTGTCAACTCTGAGCGGAAAAAGCATTACGCCAGTCGCGTCTTTTTCATTCTACAATCAAATAAAAGCAGAGGCGGGGTTTCCGATGAGGTGACTGCAGTGTTTGTGTTGTCAAGACGACTATGGAGACTTTTAAAGATGGAGGAGAGACAGCAGTCGCTGTTTCAATTTATCCAGAGCTGTGTGACTTTTAAAATCTTGAATATCACAATATTATTAAATATTACAATTATAACAATATTAACAACAACACTCGAGCACAGCATGCACTGAACCAGTTATTGCCTAGTGACATAAAAAAGCGTACTGCACTTCTTTTTTTTCTTGTCAACAAAAAAAAGGCGATGGGTGATTGGCCCCTTAGGGACTCATTGCAATTTATCGAAAACACTTGATTGCAGTGGATGCTGCTACGCGTGGTCCAATCGGTTATAAGATTTAGGGGGCAAACACTTTTTCACACAAGGCAATGTTTGTGTTTTGTTTTTCCTTAATAATAAAAACTTTCATTTTAAAACTACATGATGTGTTTACTTGGGTTATCTTTGAGTAATATTTAAATTTGTTTGATGATTTGAAATATTAAAGTGTGACAAACATGCAAAAAAAGGAGAAATCAGTTAGGGGGCAAACACTTTTTCACACCACTCTATATACTATACACCAAACATATGTGTTTTGACCATTAATTTAAAGGACAACATTATTCTTAAACAGCAATGTTAGACAGCAATCTTCAAAGCTGTTTTTGTGAATTAATGTGAACTGAGATTAAAATGAAAATGAAGAAAAAAAGTTTTATTACAGTGACCTTTCACGTGTCATCAGTAAGTGCCTGACAACTAAAACAATGGCCTGCTATCGCTTGCAGAAAACAGCATTTTTAGTTAGTTTATGTTGTCAATCAAAATCTGAATATGGCATAAAACATTTTGCTTATAAAGCACCGTTTTCATCCAATGAGTCACTGAGAACTAAACCGTACCTTCCCGATGAACTGACACCAAATATCGAATTTTCTGCAGTAGAAGAACCAACTACAAGCCTTTTATACATATTAAATTACTTGCGCTTTAGAAGATGAAATATTTCCGATGGCCAAGAAATGTTTAGAATGTCTATTATTGCCTTCACATTGCACCCATATTTGTTTTCATGTGAACTGTTAAAAAACAAAATCACGTGATTTTATTTCATGTGTATACTGGAATTTTATCGATAAATGTGTTTCCATCAGTTTATTAGCATTTTTCCTATCAGTTAAAAAGTTTGTCTCGTACTCAGTTGTGCGCATACTTTTTTGTGAGCATTTTCAAAATGTATGTGCTTCCATTATGCATTTTTAATGCGATATTCCAAAATGTGCATAAATATTAGTGGATGCATGTGGTCAGGGGTCAATTTCAAATTGTCTTCTGTTTTCCAAACCTTTTAAAAGGCAAAGGAAATTACTTTGTTGTGTAAACATGCCATAAGACTCTTGACCCCAACCAATGAAGTAAAACCGTTTCCTTACCTAATGATCCATGTCTCCTCTCATCTGACTAGCAAAGTGAAAAAGTACAATTTGCAAAGTCTTGCAACAATAATCATGTGAATTAAAAGAGGAAAATGCCCTCCTCTCACTCAAAATACTCATACGTACCTTTACTTACTCATTTAAAAATGTAAATGGCTCCGTTTAATTAAAGGTATAGGTCGATCAAAAATATCTCATTTACACATTCTCAAGTGGTTTGAAAAACTCAAAACAAGACTTTTAATGTTTTGGGTGAACTACCCCTTTAAACCAGTTGAATAAGGTTTGAAGCAACATTTTGAAACGATGTTATGAAATATTCTGTAAATAAAGCTGACCTCTTTTGAGGGTCAGAGTGATGCCCATGGATTGACCCAGCGATTCTCACTTCTTCTCCACGAGGGTCACATCAGCAGTCATTTGAGGTGTGTGTGTTTGACGCCTCAGCGAAAATATTTCTGTCACCGTGTCTGACCCTCCGTCCGTGTCCCATGACCAAAGTCAGTGTTCCCACATCAGCACCAGCATTCTTACTTCTCAAACCTGAAACGGCCAGATGGACATTCATCTCTTATCGAAATCAGAACGTGATGTTTGTAATGAGAAAGACCTCCAACAGAGTGCGCTGCTGTTGTTGCACGGAAACATCAACAGAGGCGATCCAAATAAGCTTCTCTTGGCTTTTGGCTTTTATTGTTATTGTTTAATTATACTTTTTCAATGTGTTTAATTAAGTTTTAAGAGGTTTAATTTGTAGTCATATTTATCAATGTTAATTAAGTGTATTTAGTCTTTATATGTTTTGTTTTACGATCTGGGTGTCAAAATTACATTGGAAAAAATTATTCACTGGATTTACTCAGGTAAGTGGATGCAAACAATTTGTATGTATTTATATCTTTATACTCTTTCTGTTTAATATTTGTTTAATATTATTACTCTGTATAAATGTAATGTTTTGGAACCACTAAAGGCTGAGTATGGTGAAGTTTTGTGTGAACTAACCTTCAATATATTCTATTTATATTTATATTCTATTACTTTTTCACCATGAGCCCCTGCCCCTCAAAAAGTCTCTGTATGTTCCTGAGAGACAGCAATCTCTCAGATTTTGACATGTTTATTAAGTTTTACAAAAGTATTATGGGCTTATTTTAAACATCATGCAACATTGTTTGGAGACATTCACACAACCTAATAGTAACAGAAGTACAGCAGCCCTCACAGATAAAGAGCCACGTCGAAGAGTCCTTGTATTAAGCATAAAAAAACATTTGTTCTCCTTTTTTGGGGTTTTCTACAAACCGAATGGCACAATTTACAGTTAAACACGAAATACAGTAAGCCAATAGCTAATATATGCATAAGCGACTTTTGATAGTATTTGAACCAGAAAAAAGGAGCTGTGTTAGACACTCATTTGCCCTTTATTTGAAATTATATTTAATTTGAAACTTGAAAAAGTCTATAGTTCTTTAGTTTGATATTTGACAAAAAATTATACTGTCATGATTAAAGTTTTTGTTTTTTTATAAATCAAAGTGAGTTGTGGAAATCGAGAATGGAATAAAAAATGGATTGCCATTACGGTGTTCACCCAGTCATTCTCACTTCAACACAAGCATAACACGTCTGCAGTCATGTGAGGTGTGTGTGAGACACCTCAGTGAACACTTCTGTCACCCACACTTTTCTCTCTGCTGACCCAAACCTGCTTCCCACATCAGCACCTACACACAAATAAACTGACCCCGCTTTAACCTAGACATAGACACAAACTGACACACAAACTTCAATAAATGCATATAGTTATATAATTTTTTACCCATTTTACAGTTGTACAATTAAACATGTGAGCCAAAATTTGAAAGTTACAATTTTCAATTTGGCCAAAGCTTAAAGTAATGACACTGGGAAAAAATGCAGGGTTCCACAATTTTTTTACATTGTCCCAACACAAATTAAATAAATTTAACAAGTGGATTGAACATAAAACATACTCTCTTTTTTTGTCAGAGGCAGAGGTAAAAAAAAATATTTTAAATATATATTAAGGTGTGGAATGAATGTGTTGTTCTAACATCACAGTCAAGAACCATTGAGCATTTGCCAAGATTAACAGTCTGTAAATAATTTAGTTGATAAAAAATGAATGATTAGATAATGATAGTAATAAATAAATAAATGTATGTATGTACAGTTGAAGTCAGAATTATTAGCCCAGCTGAATTATTAGCCCCGTCTATTTTTTCCCCAATTTCTGTTTAATGGAGAGAATACATTTCTAAACATATTAGTTTTAATAAATCATTTCTAATAACGGATTTATTTTATCTTTGCCATGATGACAGTACATAATATTTGACTAAATATTTTTTCAAGACACTTCCATTCAGCTTAAAGTGACATTTAAAGCCTTAACTAGGTTAATTAGCTTAACTAGGCAGGTTATGGTAATTAGGCAAGTTATTGTATAACGATGGTTTGTTCTGTTGACTATCTGGAAAAAAATATAGCTTAAAGGGGCTAATAATTTGTCCGTAAATTGGCTTAAAAAATTTAAAACTGCTTTTATCCTAGCCGAAATAAAACAAACAATACTTTCTCCAGAAGAAAACATATTATCAGACATACTGTAAAAATGTCCTTGCTCTGTTGAACATCATTTGGAAAATATTTAAAAAATCACCTGACTTGAATCCAATAAAAATACAAGCTAAAGATCAGATTTGATTGACCAGACTCACAAAACCATCAAGATTTTTACACTCTGTTGAAGTTTTTGAAAAACTCACATCTGAGCAATGCATGTGACTTCATTCTGAATATGAGAGGCGTCTTTAAACTGCCATCACCAAAAAAGCCTTTTTTTAAAAATATCAAATATGTTCATTAGTTCAGGACTTTCTGCTTGCGTCATTATTGCACATAACTATTTGTTAAGATTTTTTTTTTGTTGTTTTATTTTTATGTTAGTATCGTTTAGGTTTTTACCAAAATCTGGTTCAATTCCATGTCAACAGCTCCTTTAGAAATATTATGCCTAGGAAAACTTTTTCCCTGCTGTATATATGTATGTATATTCAATCATTCATTTTCTTTTTTCTTAGTCCCTTTATTAATCTGGGGTTGCCACAGCAGAATGAACCACCAACTTATCCAGCATATGTTTTACGCAGCGGATGCCTTTCAAGCTGCAACCCATCACTGAGAAACATCCATACACACTCCTTCACACACAAACACTATGGACAATTTAGCTTACCCAATTCAGCTACAAAACATGTTTTTGGACTTGTGGGGGAAACTGGAGCACCCAGAGGAAACCCACGCAAACATGGGGAGAACATGCAAAACTCCACACAGAAACGCCATCTGACCCAGCAGAGGCTTGAACCAGCGACCTTCTCGCTGCGAGGCGAACATGCTACCCACCGTGTCGCCTAATGTGATCTTTGGTGTTTCAAAATTTAAGGGTGTTTTACAAAACTATTTAAGTGGCCTGAATGAGTTCAACACATCTGTAACATCATAGTCTCTTACAAACATCACAATTCTCTTAAAGGCTTCACTAATTTCTGACAAATATCACCCTTTTCATTACGATTTTATTGAGCTATTCTCTATATCAGGGGTGCTCAGTCCTGTTCCTGGAGATCTACCTTCCTGTAGATTTCAGTTGCTACCCATTTCAAACACACCTGCCTGTAATTATCAAGTGCTGTTCAGGTCCTAATTAATTGGTTCAGGTGTGTTTGATCAGGGTGAGAGCTGTGTTTTGCAGGAAGGTAGATCTCCAGGAACAGGATTGAGCTGCACTGCTCTATATGGACTGTTTTCAGCTTTATTGACTGTGTGTTATCATTTTTATTTAGTCTGTTAGTCTGTTCTTACCTATGTGAAACCAGTTATTCCCTTTTCTCATGTTTCTCCATGAGGGTTTGGTAGAAAGTCTGTTAGGTAAGTAGGTCTTATGACATACATTTCATCATGAAGGATTTTCAACTGTGTATTTTTTGATAATGTATAAGACGTCTTTGGATATGTAAGATGTTTTTTTGTTTTGTTTTGTTTTTTGAATAGATATTTGGAGATTTATATTAGTAAGGTTATATTGTTATACATTTTTTAGTAACCATTTTATATTGTTTTGGTTTTTGATTGTTTCTTTTCTCTAACGCCACCCTAAGCACGTCTTTCTAATTTATGTTTTGGTTTGTTTGTTATATGAGACTTAGGCCATACTCACACTAGGTACAGTTGCCTCGAACCGGGCCAAAGCACGCTTGTCCCCCCTCCCGTCTCCCCCGACGGCCCGCACTCACATCACAATCGGGCCTGGGCACGCTTACGTCATCGATGCTGTGCTGTTCAGTGAGAAGCGCTCTCACTCAGCAGCACAGTGGAGATTTCTCTAGTTATATCGTTTCAGTCGATTAATATGCAGTGACATGCAGTCAAATATTTCGCCAAACAGTCCTTAGGCATGCGGTGACACGCAGTCAGATATTTCGCCGAACAGATCCGCCACTTTTGGCGCTCATAATCATAATGCTCTCGTGCTGCAGGAATGAGGAGGTCTGCTGAAGGTGCGCAGCTGTCGTGCAGTGAGGAGTTTGCATCTTTAATAAACTACGGCAGTTTGCGTTCACTGAACAGTAAGAATGATTAATAAATGCATATGATACAGTCCCTTAAAAGTCATGTCTCGCTTTCAGTTTCGGCCTTTGGCTCGTTTTGCACTCACACTACAAATGTACCGCGCCAAAGCCCAAGTGAACCGCGCTCAGGCCCACCTCCTCCAACCGGGCCAGGGCCGGCCAAGTGAACCGTGCTTGATCCCGATTCAGCGCACTTACACTTCTCAAACGATCCGGGAAATGGGCCTGGGCACGGTACAGATGGCATAGTGTGAGTAGGCCCTTACTTTGTTTACCAAACAAGTTCTAATTGGATTTACATTGTCCAGTACACACTAAGACGACACCAAACAAATAGCACAGACAAAACCCAACTTTGTTGTCGCCTTACGTCACACTCATGCTCTCAATGCTGAATAAACAATCGGAAAGCTGTCTTTAGCTGATTCTATATGCCACACCAAACCAACCAACAGGATCAATGCTTGCCAATGGACAGACAAATGCCAACAACCAACTTTCAGCTAGGTGTGTTCTGGCCTTTAAATTCACTGTATATGGGAAGAACAGTGAAGACTGGAAAGCGTTGGGAGCAGAGAGAGGGGAACAGGATTGTCAAAGGACCTCAAGTCGGGAATTAAACTCGGGTCGCTTTGAGCACCTTAGAGCCATGTGTTGACACACTAACCACAAGGCTATTGGTTGTTGTTTGGTTCCTACTACTATTATTCATTCATTTTCCTTTGGCTAAGTCCCTTATTTATCAGGGGTCACCACAGTGAAAGGAACCGCCAAGTATTCTGGCATATGTTTCACAAAGCAGATGCCCTTTCAGATGCAACCCAGTACTGGGAAACACACATACACTCTTTCATTCACACACACACACACACACACACACACACACACACACACACACACACACACACACACACACACACACACACACACACACACACACACACACACACACACACACACACACACACACACGAGGCCAATTTTATCCAAATTTAGATTAGATTTTTAGATTAGATTCAACTATTGTTATTACAAATGTACAAGGCAAAGAAATGCAGTTTAGGTCTAACCAGCAGTGCAATAGCAGCAAGTGCAGGATACAGATATAAGTTATAAAGTGCAGTTATAAAAAAAAACTATGGAGATATTAACAGATGGATGTACAATGATCATTACATACAGGTTGTATTATGAACAGAGATTTACAATACATGAATGTATTTACAGGTAGCTATTAATATCAGAAGTTTGCAGATAGATAAAAATAATTACAAATGTACAGTATGTGTACAGTGGGTGTGTACATAATTATAAATGTCCATGTGCAGTGGATATGTACAGTTCAAATAAATAAGTGCAATGTAGTACAATGAATTTGTGCAATTTTTAAATGTGCAAATGTTAAACAGTGCAGTTTTTGTGAGGAGTATGAGTTAGAGGAGAGTCGGGGTGTATTGGGGGGCAAAAGAGTCAGTGAGGGGCAGTTCAAAAGGGAGACAGCTCTGGGGAAAAAGCTGATCTTCAGTCTGCTGGTTTTTGTCCGGGGGAGCCTGAAGCGCCTGCCGGAAGGCAGGAGAGAAAACAGTCTGTGAGCAGTGTGAGAGGAATCTTTAAGAATACTGCGTGCTCTGTGCAGACAGTGTTTCTTCTGGATGTCCTCTATGTGGTCCCTGTGATGATTGGGCTAATTTTACCACCCGCTGCAGTGCTTTACGCTCAGCAACAGAGCAGCTTCTATACCAGACTGTGACGCAGTTGGTCAGGTCTATTGTGCAGCAGTAGAAGTTTACCAAGACAGCTGATGAAAGCTGGTTCATCTTAAGTCGGCTTAAGAAAAATAGGCGCTGGTGAGCCTTCTTGACCAGGCTAAACGTGTTGGTGGTCCAGGAAAGGTCCATTGAGATTTGGGTCCCCAGGAACTTGAAGGATGAGACAGGCTGAACAGCCATCCCGTTGATGTGGATGGGATCATGTGAGCCTGTTCATCCCTTTCTGAATTCCACAATTCACCTATATTGCATGTCTTTCCTGTAGGAAACCCACACAAACAAACTCCACACCAAAATGCCAACTGACCCAGCTGGGACTCGAACCAAAGAACTTGAGCCACCGTGCCAACCGTTACTAATACAGTACAGCATTTTTTTCTTAATGTTTTGAAACAATAAAAAGTATCTGCAGAAAATTTGTTAAGCTTTTAATTAAACTAAATTCTCAGAACAAATCGTTCAGCATTAATCTCTGGATTATTTTATTTTATTTTTTGCTAAATTAAGGGATAATCAATCTAAATCTTAGCGCCTTTCAATTGCAAAGGAAATGTAATTAAGCTCATTGTATGAATACCTGAGGATTAATGTTGGTAATATTGGGTTATCAAAGTATACGAGTATTCTGTACAGGTTTTTTTTAATTTATATATATATATATATATATATATATATATATATATATATATATATATATATATATATATATATATATAATTTTTTTATTAAAATCATTGTAATTATTTTAATAATTATTATTATTTATTGTTTTTCTTTCTTAGATAAATGTTATTTCATCTCATTTAGAGGATGCGGGTAGGAATAA